TTTCAGTTGGGGGTAGGGGCGTTTGGAAAAAAAACTAAAGGAATTAAGTTTGTTATCCGACATCGATCTTTTGACGTCGTCCCTTACTAGTATGAGCTGTTTGTATTCAAGGTACCGAGAATTAGGAAATTTGAGCTGAACTAAAATTTTGCACATCTGAGCATATATATAATAATAAAAAAAATTTACAAATAGTGTGTCCAATATCGAAACATATAAAGTATAGATGGTTCTGCTGCGTTTAAAATAATTGTGAATTTGTCTATATACTAGTAGTTCTGTGTTAAGAAATTCTATATGCAATGCATTATGGGACAAAACTTCCCACTGTACATGATGGTAAACTATTAATATTGTGGAAACTAACTGCCTCTGGAAATGTTTCAACAACATGAGGATTTGTAAAAAAAATCTTGCCATAGAAGCCAGTAATAAAAATGCCAATTTTGACCATTTTCTATGACATTCTAGATTCTTGTATCTCGAAAACTTGTCCAGTGAGTTTTTTTTTTTTTTTTCAGTTATCATAATGGCATGAACATATAGTAATAAAAGTGTGGAAGAGAAGAAATCTACATGTATCATTTTGCAATAAAAAGTATCTCATTAATACTATTAAATAGAGATGAGGTGACCAGAATTTAGTCTTTTCATTCACAATTTAGCCAGTAATATATCTCACCTTGGAAGTATAGTACTTCAACTTGACATGTTTATTTTTGTTGTTAGAATAAATAAAGAATTTAAGATTTCTATGTTGTATAGAGTAAAAGATATTATGAACTGTACCAGTATATTTTTGTGCTTAAAATTGTGATATTGTATTTGTAAAATAAATTGTCTGAAATGTTGCAACTGTGAGAGTATCAATAAATAACATTAAGCAGATATTAAGTGTATATGCGAAAGTTTGTATGGCATAATGGTAGCTGTCACTACCCTTGCATCAGAGATTGCTGATGTGTGTGGTCAGCTTTACATTTAACTATGGAGGGGAAAAAAAGGACTTTCTGCCCACTTGCCAGGTTTGTGGTAAACAAATTTCTTCTGATTGTGTGCTTTGCCATATTTTAGAAACCAATTTTGAGTTACGGGCAACATATGTTAAAACAAAAAATCTACTGTAAAGGGGGTAATTATTCACTGGGTTTTAATTTAGCTTATTTCGCTGACTGGAAAATGCGCTAAATTAAAACCCAGTGAATATGTAAAATTTAGCATAGAACACATTATCTAAATGACAAAACAGTGAATTTTAAACCCACTGAATATGCCTGAAATGGTAAATCAGTGAAATTTAAACCCAGTGAAAAATAGTCATTTTACAGTATGTTGCCTGTTAATTCAAGTTTGAGTTACTAAAAGTGAGCGTTAAACAAAAACACATGTTGTCTGTAACTACGAGATCTCAACATTTCCTTAGGCCACTGATGTATGAGCTGTTAATTTCCACTGAAATCACTGAATAAACTGATTTATCATCAGTACGAACAAAACTACTAAACAATGTAATGATTTTGACTTTTTCTTTTTATTTGGCTGTGAGGCAATTGTCTAACATTTTGTACTTTGTATCAACATCATTCTGCAATAATGCCATTATCTGTTGAGAAAAACAAATTCTAATTTACACAACTGTGGTTCCAGTTTACCGAACTAACTTGTGATCTGTTATCAATATGTTTATGAAAGACTTTTGTACAATTTTACTGAAAATAATTTTCAAGTTTTCATTTCAAACTGAGACATGATAAGGGTCGCTAACATACGTTATTGGTTTCAAATTTAAGCCAACCTTGATTCTACTAGCCTTGAACAAGACCAGGCGTATTTGGATGTGTTCTTCATAAATAAGCAATAAAAAAAAGGATTTATGGAGAAAAAACACATTAGGCACTATATCTCGATTTGTATGCTGCATCCCAATGTGTTCAAAATTGTCAACCACACCACTTTTGTTATTGATTCAAATTTTGGTGTTTGTTAGGGGATAACATGTATCGTCTATTTACACAACATTACAATGTGTGTGGTGCCAACAACTGCTACCTGCATCATCAGAAACACATTTAAGTCACTGATTAAACTGTATCTCCCAGCAAAATTGTGTCCATTGTTTATAATAAATTCGCATAATTTTTATTTCAGTCTTGGGCAATGGAGAGCACAGACCTATGTTTATATTTATAAACAATATTCAAAAGCAAATAAGACTAATACTCAGTGAAGCAGTCATGGTATATTCTATACCTTGTAATTACCAGTAATTCACTACACAGGCTGCAACACTGTCGCTTTGTATTTATAAATAATTTAAAACATACACAGGTTTGTGCTCTTCACTGTAAGATATGACAGCAGCTACAAATACTTATAAGTATAGGAAAGCATCTACATTGTACTAAAATAAAACAAATTTAAGCAGAGTCTTTAATTTTCTGGGTTTTCCTCGTCTTCCTCATCAAATTCATATGTTTCTAACTCTGGTGATTCTGATTCTTCCATGTTATCATCGTTAACAGTTTCTATTTGTACAAGTCCACTTAGTAGTGCATACGTGACCATTGCGATGATCGCAAATCCCACGGATAGTATCTGGTTTCGTAGCTTATGGGGATCTTCAAACGGATCTTTATCTGCACTGAATTTGGACTCTGTTTTATCTGCTACAAGGAACGGGAAATAGAACAATTTTTATTCATTTATTAATTTTAATTTGCTCCCTGCAAGAAATGGTTGTAATTTGATAATTGAAGGATTTCGCACGGGCATGAATCTTGGGAAAATCATATGATAAGGCCATGAAAGGGCAAGCTTAGCTTTAATCTCACTTCAAATTTACTCACTGGATTACAATGATAAACAAAAGAGAAAGTCATAGCTTAAATAATATAAACAATGGTGTCCCACAATTCAATGAGGTAATCCCAGGGTTTGACATCCACCCCTTCAAAATTTCCTGATTCTCACTTATTCATGAATAATGTATACAAATTTTTAGTAAAATAATACAGGCAAAAAAACAATGGATTCAAATTAGAAAGAAGATGCTTTACCTTCAGGATCTGGAGGAAAAAATCTGTGTAATATCCTTCCACAAAAGTCACATAAATTTTGACATCCTTTTAGATGATTCTGCAATTGACTGCTTGGAAATGGTGCTTTTAGTAGTGGTGCAATGTGGCCGAACACATAGGCATCTAAGGAAGAAGGCCTGCAAAAAAAAAATAGAAATGACGCTTTAAGTAATTGTGCAATGTGGCTGTATACATAGGTGTCTAGGAAATACTAAGATACATCTGAAGCAAACAAGAAATGCCTTCAGAAAGTTTACAATCATTGTAGAAACAGATTTCAAAGTTTTAAGCCCTTTTTTTCAGAACACAAGATCTCTACGGGAACCTTGTTTATCACAAACATCTCAAAATTAATGCGAGTTTGATTTACAGTAAGAGTACCACTGGTGTACCACAGCTGATGAAATTGAGTTCACAAACACCTCAAAATTAATGCGAGTTTGATTTACAGTAAGAGTACCACTGGTGTACTACAGCTGATGAAATTGAGTTCACAAACATCTCAAAATTAATGCGAGTTTGATTTACAGTAAGAGTACCACTGGTGTACCACAGCTGATGAAATTGAGTTCACAAACACCTCAAAATTAATGCGAGTTTGATTTACAGTAAGAGTACCACTGGTGTACTACAGCTGATGAAATTGAGTTCACAAACATCTCAAAATTAATGCGAGTTTGATTTACAGTAAGAGTACCACTGGTGTACCACAGCTGATGAAATTGAGTTTACAATTTTGGAACCGGTTAGGGACAACGTCAAAAGATCGATGTCGGATGCCCCCCCCCCCCCCCCTAACTGAAACTTGATTGATAAATATTGATCATGGCATCAGACTACATTCACCATTAAATACAAATTGATAATCGGACAGTAGTATGGCATAGCAGTTGGTTGTAATAATGAAGGGAATATTCGCATGCGCACTACTTCTCTGGGTTCTGCGCATGCTCTAGATCCATGCCCTGAAATTGACCTCATTTGACGCACATATTTACACTCGGACCAAACCATTTTCTCGTCTTGTTTTTTTTTTTCATTTTCTGTTATTTTTGTCTATAATTGGATAGAAAAAAACTACAAATACTTCAAGATTTTTTTGACTTCATTAACAATGTTTGTAGGATTGAAACTTCTTGAGGTCACCCCCCCCATCCCCAAACTAAAGCAAATAAGTTTGTTATCTGACATCGATCTTTTGACTTCGTCCCTTACCCCGAAACCTTTATTGTACCTAAGGTCACAGCAAACAATTTCAATGATTTGAGATGACTCACCCTTCAAAGATTTTATTTAGATATTTTTATTTATTTGTTGCAATCCCTTAGAATCAGGGACTCATTATATGAATAATTAAAGGAGCTGCATGAATTTGTCATTACATAACAAATTAAACAACAAAAAATAAATCAAATGTTAGAATTAGAAAAAAAAATACAAAAAAAAAAAATTGAGTCAAACATAAAATAAAAGTATTAAAAAAAAACAACAAATGGACTCCATGGCACTGATATGGAATTATTTGACTAATTTTTCAATGGTTGTACAAATGTCATCATTATAGGATTGTGTACCGTCCGTCTCCCAGCAATAGGCATATTATTTCTTTATTTTGTTCAAAATCTGCGTAAAGAATGTTTTCTCCCCTATTCAGTCAAATATCTTTCTGCACTGCAAAACACTTACAATGAAAGACAGAATGTTCCAGGACAAGTGCAGCCTTAAACCGCGGGTCCGGATGTATAAAAGGAAAGATGGCCGCCACTTTTCAGTATGCAAATGACACTCAAGTGTGAAACATCTCTTCGGGATGCTCCGCAAAATCAAGCTTTTCGGCAATCTTAACGCCTGTGGTGCTTTATTTTCATGTCGTACACAAACATGAATATATTCGCGATACAATCGCGATGTTAATTTACCAGTTCAGTGCGATGACAGTGTGATTTCCGCATATAAACGACGGAAAAGCATGATTCAAACAGTCGTTTTGACTGCTCAAACTGGCTGTCAGTCATGGGTTTATGCAAATGTAAGGTGTTAATCCTGAGTTGTTTGTTCAATCTCTAGGTATGTTTATGTAATTACGGAGTTGATCATGTAAGTGATATCGTGGAGCTAATAAGAAATGATATGCTGTGAGCTGATTGTCCGTCCGTCCGTCCATCTCAGGGGACGTCGTCGGCGCTCCACGAAGCGGTCCGACTCGAGCACGTGTGAATTGCACGAGCTGGGGGTGTGCGCGAGAGGGGAGGGACTTTGCGTAAACATACCAATAACCTCCGTAGTTGTGTGTGCAGAGAAAGACATTCGCGGTTACAGGGCTAGGAAATTTGCTCAATTCCTATTTTTCAGTGGCAACAGAGCTGAAATAGGTCAGTTTCGAGAAGGAAAATAAAAAAAAATGGTTTTCACTCTGATGTCGATGAAAAGAGTCGAGGGTGCCCCAAATACGTCCTCGACAATATGTCGAGTATGCTTCTCAAATTTCTCTTCGTTCCCGACAATTTAAAAAGTACAAATGTGTCTCGAAATAAATTTAAAGGTCTCACAAAAAATGTAATGTTCCCTGAAACATATCCCCGCAGTGATATATTTAGCCCTTTTTATTCATGATCCGCACGTTGCATGTTCGATGTATCTATATTGATTTACTCATAACTTTGCCTATTTAGATTTTTAATAATAACTGGCTTGTTGCAAGTACGTACTCATTATATTTATAAATAAATCCACGGCAACATAGCACAGTACGTAGTATAAATACATCGCGCTCGTAACGTACGGGTTGTGAATGAATAAATAAATACATTGCATAAAAAGTTCGCACTTGTAACATATTGGTACAATAGCAAGAGAGCAAGGGCATGAGCTCGATTCAGAGATATCATTGAGAACCTTACAATGCCGTAACGCCATTTACAGAAATTGTGCTTTACAGTCGACCACGAGCGAAACAAACACAGAAAACGGCTTTCAAAAGAGTGCGTAGGCCCCGTGAATGTCGAACAACGGGATTCAGCAAGTCCTTTCAAATCAGATAATAGCGTAATGCATGATGTTAGCTTACGGAATTAACACCTTCAGTTGAAATGATAACAGCTGTGTACCAAGTGAACAACTGGGCGGACCATGTAAATTACATTTCCCATGATGCACTGGTGCAATTCCTGGGATTGCGGAGCCGTGCTTTAAGAAGTATTATTTTACCATTTCATTTTTCCATATTCCAAACCATGTGTGTAGGACCTTGCCTTAAATTTCAGTTGAATCCCTTTAAAATCTGTCATTGTTTCATATATGGTTTGCAGTTTTTTTATCTTGTTCTTGTTTTCGTATAGTAGACTAAGCTAGATTAAAGTCACACTAATGACAAAAAAGTTCAACTCACGTGTCACCGAAGAAAAACTCCTTGTCACTCAAGCGAGCAGAGAGTAAGTTCAAACATTCTTTGGCATCTTTATAAACCTATTGAGGAAAATAGCACAAGAAATTAACATAAATAACAAGTCATTGAAAATGACACAGTCCCTGTTAAATTTTTTAAAGTTCTCTTTGTGCTTGTCATATTAAAGTGGAGGGGTTGTCGCGAGTGTGTCTTTGAAACTTGAATCCCAAGTGGCGTATACAACAGATTGTTTATTTACATCAACTTCAAACACGTGTTGCGTGACGACCCCTCTGGTTTAAGACATAGGAAAGAAAAACATTGATCACAAGTGAAAGCATGTCCAAGTTATCACATTTTAAACAAACAAGATGGCCGCCAGTCAGCCATATTTGATCAAATTGCAAATTGAATTGACATATACATGTATCCATTTATGACATACTAAATATCAATGAAAATGATACATGGGTGACAAAGATATAGTAATATGGCCAAAAATAAAAAAACAGCTGTTATTCGGACATCTTTGATTATGAAACAAAGTGACATGTAAGATACAAATGAAAATGGTACATAAATCTTGGAAATATAGTAGTAAGGCCAAAAAT